GGAAAGAGAACAATAGGTATCTTCTATGCCAATTCTATTTTCTGGCCTGCGAGGGCTGCCTTGCACCACCATTACAATTGTTGTTCTTAGTGAAACACATTTGAACCAGATGTCAGCAACCTACTTTGGCTGAGAGCCACCCCTCCGGTCTAAGTACTGGACTGCTCTCTCCTCCTTTTGAGAGTGCTGTAGCCCACTCATCCTGCAGTGAAGAGATGGATGCTCGAGCTGAGACAGCACTGATGCTAATGGCAAGTGATGCAGACATGCACACAACTGTGCATGCTGCTTAAAGGGAGCTTCTCTCATGGAACAGCGATGTCTTAATGTTCCTCAGCCACCACTTCTGGCTCCTTAAGACAGCATTAGTGTGCGGGCCGCCTCCCAATCCCATCCATGCGGTCATGTGCGGGCTAGGAGCGGTATGCGAACCGGTCTTTGTGCACGCAGGCTGTGGCCAGCAGCCCGGGCACGCGGGGTCGAAGAAGACCGGTGGCGAGTTAGAATCAGTTACGGACGCGTAATGGTTGATTAAAAGATTTGTTTACTTACACCACAGATGGTCGTGGTGTAGGCTGGACAGTGTTCCAGGCTCAGCTCCGCTTAAGTCCTCGCTAGAGGACTCCGACAATTGACCCCGGAGTTGTTGAAGCTCCGCGGGTTTGGCTTGGTAATTTGCCCCGGAGTGGTTGAAGCTCCGCGGGTTCAGTAGTTTCAAAAGGAAAGGGATACGTCTTAGGATTGCGCTCGGCGATGGGGAGAGGCTAGAGGCCGTTTGGCCCCCAGAGTGGTTGAAGCTCCGTGGGTTCGGTAAATAGGCCCCCGGAGTTGTTAAGACTCTGTGGGTTCGGTAAATCGGCCCTCTATTGCCCTCTTAAGGAGAAAAAGAAAGCTGGGTTCGAAGGGATTAGCAGCGCTTGGAGATCTTCACGCTCTTTCTCCCAAACTCCAATTGCGCGCGCGCTCGCTCGCGCTCTCTCTCTCTCTCTCCCCAACATGGGCGGAAACCTCCCAAGCTCTTTATATGGCTAGAAA